TTGTTATCTTATAATAGTGTATATGAGCCCACTTCAGATTCTCATAAAATTACATCCTGCCTCAAACCTTACAGCTGCCTTGTCCTGATTTTTCCAAAGTCTTGCTTCAAAACTATTAGAGATTGAAAAAGCTTTGAATTCAGCAAGGTGCCTTCCAGAGAAGGTCAGCAATCACACGACACCAGGTTATAATTCACCAGGTTTATTTGAAAACACAAGCTTTCAGAGTCTTGCTCCTTCTTCAGGCGTTAGTGAGAGAGGTGGCATCAGACTCAGAATTTATAAGTAAATGATCAAAGGGTCTCACAACTGAAGAGGATGTATTAAACAAACCTAAGATTCTGTTAAATCTTCAATCAGTTAGAAGTTTTTAAATTGATTGACATGGATATGTAAATCCCTGAATTTCTTTCAAGTCACTGACCTGAGAGAACTAAAGGTTTTATCAATGTAAAGAAAAGGTGACGTTTTAGGTCAGACAATGCACGTTAGGTATGAGGCTTTGTTTGGAATCTATTTGTGTTTTGGTTTGGATTTAGACGAGTTTTATTTCTAAAGTAGGAATTTATAAAACGCCACATTGACTGACTGACTGACTGACTGACTGTCTGTCTATAAATATATGCTTTTTGAACAAAACAGAATGTATCTGCAAGTACAAATTTACTCCAATGATTTACGCATGTGGGGGGTGGGAAGAGGGAGAGCAAGTGTGTAGGGGGGAGTGTGTGTGTATGTGTGTGTGTGTCTGAGTAGTCAGAGCGACATTTTTAGCTCACTCACTATTGTTTGGAATATGTGTAAAAACAACTGCCTTTCCTGCTCTTTAAATAATTCTTCTCTGCCTATGAACCAAAAAAGCTAGCTGCTCTTGGAGTTTTTGCTGAGAGTACTTGTTGAAATCTATATTCAAGCCTTTTTGTTGGAAAAAAAAAATTCTAAATTTTGAAACTTTTGCCTAACTTTTCTAACACTCCTCTTCTGGGACTTGGTAGCACTTGTCTTCTGAAATTCCACATACACCAATATCTACTGAATTCTCTTTATCTATCCAATTAGTCATGTCTTCAAAAGAAAATTCAAATTTACTGTACCTGACCAGACTTTTAATGAATCCATTTTGGACTTTGATCACTGCTTACCAACTGATATTATTATAGATTCTAAAACTACTAACAGTTGATTTTATTTTAAATGATTGATAGTGAACTAATTTAGCTTCACATCCTTCCTTGAACAAGGGGGCTGTGCTAGCTATATAGTAGAACATTACATGATACAACATATGTCTCTCTAAATCTTTGATTTCTTTAAATAGCGTAAGGTGCTCACCATTGAGGCCTAATAATTTTGAGTCCTGATTATTTTTCAAACTGAATCTTTTTGCATCATTGACTATTGTAACGATTTCATATCGTTCCATTCTATTGCACGTTGACCTGTAAAACTGATGCCCAATATTACGCTTGTGCCCCAAGATCATGGGCGGCAGAATGGCTCAGTGGTTAGCACTGCTGCCTCACAGCACCAGGGACCCGGTTTCGATTTCACCCATAGGCGACTGTCTGTGTGGAGTTTGCATGATCTCCCTGTGCCTGTGTGGGTTTCCACCTGGTGCTCCAGTTTCCTGCCATAATGCAAAGATGTGCAGGTCAGGTGGACTGGCCATGCTAAATTACCCATACTGTTCAGGGATGTGTAGGTTAAGTGCATAGCCGTGGGAAATGCAGGGTTACAGGGATAGGGGGGGTGGGTCTGGGTGGGATGTTCTTTTGGAGGTATGGTATGGACTCATTGGGCTAAATGTCCTGTATCCACACTGTATGGATTCTGTGCTCTATGTTCTATTCGATTATGAACCCAGTCTTCCTGTTTGAGCCTTAGAGGTCAACTTTCCTAATTTTCATCTCTTTGACATGTCCAGTAGTAATCTGTGGTAATTATCAAGATTACTATCCTTGAGGTTTTGTTTTACTATCTAATGCCTCATTCTTTAAACATAGTTGGTAAGGTCTCAAGCATTCTTCAATCCAGTGTTGAGGAAACACTCAATCTTTCCAGTCATATTTAGATCATTCGTTAAAGTTGTTCTTGTACAAGATGGTTGCAAGGAAGAACTAAATTTGCAAAACTCAGCAAATGTGGTTTAAAGACCTTCCCTGAAATCTTATAGTTAAGTGCACTAGTGTTGAATGTAGATTTTCTCTTTTTTTTGTACAAAACAGGTAATGAACTGTGATGGCACTGGTAGGCGGGTCCTTGTTGAGGATAAATTACCACACATCTTTGGTTTTACTCTGTTGGGCAATTATGTTTACTGGACAGACTGGCAGCGCCGTAGCATTGAACGTGTTGACAAAAGATCTGCTGAGAGAGAGATAATCATTGACCAGCTGCCTGATTTGATGGGTTTAAAGGCCACAAATGTTCATCAGATCTTGGGTAAGTAAAAATGTTAGTAGCCAATCCTATCTTTTTTTTTGAAAACAGGATTCTGTCAATTTTTGGTGTTTCTGAGCTGGAAATGGGGAATTAAATAAAGTTCCTGTTGCTATCAAGAAGCATAACTTATCAGTGAAAACTTCTGTTAACAGGCCAATCTTAACTGTGTGCTGTTGGGAAATGAGTGGTGACTTGAGAGAGGTGTTGAAAAGTAAGAACTGTTTGTTCTCACCTTGAGTGTTGATCCAAGGTGCAATTTTCAAGAAAGGTTCCATTTTAATCCAAAAAATGGCTTGAAAAACAAATACATTAGTTATTGTGGATTTTCTATGAAAACTGTTTCCACAAGTTGCATTTTGTAGGATAAGACTTAGATAGTTGTGAAAAATACAGTCATAAATGTATTAATTTTTTTATTCAGGAAAACTACAGTTATTTATTTCAGTAAATAGTAACTATACCAATTTGAAATTTGTTTTTCTCAATATTTATTCAAAGTTACTCCTTTTTATTGTAATTGAATCATCATCATTTTTGCAGGTAAAGTAGGTTGTTTTAATATTTTTCAGGTACCAACCCGTGTGCAGAAGATAATGGTGGGTGCAGTCACCTGTGCTTGTACAGACCTCAGGGTGTGCGTTGTGCCTGTCCAATAGGTTTGGAGCTTATTAGGGATATGAAAACCTGCATAGTACCTGAAGCTTTCCTCCTCTTCTCTCGGAGAGCAGACATCAGAAGGATTTCACTCGAAACAAACAATAACAATGTGGCTATTCCACTGACTGGGGTAAAGGAAGCCTCTGCTCTGGATTTCGATGTGACTGACAACCGGATTTACTGGACGGATATTAGCCTGAAGGTATATAAAGCCTTGCTGCTGCTGCTGCTGTTTCTCTGGTATCTGTGTGTCTCCGAGCTGCCAGGGCTAATAGGCTCCCGCAGGATTCTGCTAGAATAGTAATTGCAGTCTCAGTATAAAAATAACCTGTACTTCTATCATGTAGAGAAAGAAAAGCATGATTCTGGAAAATATACTTGAATGTTTGTGTATTTTTTTTTTAAAAACATAGTTATTACTTAAGCCTAGAGGGGGGAAGGAAAACTACCTTTATTAAATGTTCAATTTATTTACAATATAATGCAACAATTTTTCATCCAGAAATGCTAACATTAAAGACTGTGGACCCAGCAATTTATTGGTATAGTTTGAAATATTTCTTAAGTGTATTTTTCTAATTTAATTTTACAAGTTAGCAGATTGTGAAACTTGCTATAATGTGAACACAGATTATTTAAACATATCCTCAACCTTTGCTGGCTAACTGATTCAGACTGAAAATAAATTATCCTGAAGATAGGAAAAGTGGAGGCTGATACCATTCACTTGTTATATTTCCTATTTTCTTTAATCCACATAAGTAGATGTTTTTAAAAGTCAGTATTTGTTTTTGGATCAAAGTAGTTTTCCAAGTAATTTTTGGAATGACTGTCATTACCACACTATAACTATTAAGACACACATAACAAAGATAAACAACCTCATCATTTTTTCAAATCCTGACTATGGTTAAGCTAACATATAGTACTCCGCTATTTTACTTTACAGACCATTAGCAGGGCTTTCATGAATGGCAGTTCTCTGGAACATGTTGTAGAGTTTGGGCTTGATTACCCAGAAGGAATGGCAGTAGATTGGCTGGGGAAAAACTTGTACTGGGCTGATACTGGAACCAATCGAATCGAAGTCGCAAGGCTGGATGGACAGCACAGACAAGTACTGGTGTGGAAAGATCTGGACAGCCCCAGAGCTTTGGCACTGGATCCTGCTGAAGGGTGAGTTACTTAAAAGCAGGCTGGCATATTTCTGGTTTTTGTTTAAAGTTGTGTTTGGCAAAAATGTCAAATTCTTCTCCCAAAAATTGTTGATCAGTTAATCCAACATTTCCCAAAGTGTTTTTATATGGAGCAACAATTTTGGCATCAGTTTATTATTTGGAAATGAAACATCGACTATTTCAGATGAAAAAATGAACTTTAAAAAGCCAAAATTATAGTTGATTGCTTTAGTAACACACACTGGTAAATACAGCAAGTTTCCACATTGCTGGTGTGAGATCAGTTTATGTACTTAGTTACCATATAATGCAGTGATTCCAGAGTTTTTCTGGTTCAAGGTAGCCTTCCCAAATTAGTTAGTAATCAAGGAGCCCATATCTGTATTTTACTACTTTTAATGGAAAAGTTCTCCACGTAAAGGATATTTTTAGGAAAATGGATACCTATTCAATTAAGAATATTACTTTACTCCAAGGTCTTTAACCAAAAAGCTTTAGGTCTACAGCAGTATCAGGTGGCCCTGCATTGTTATGTCATGGCAAGATATGTTCCAAGCCCTGATGTCCGTGCCCTGGGTTGTCACCTGCCTGTAAGGCCAGCCTTGCTCAGGATCCACCTTCCCGTTATCTCATGTTGTCCGAGAAGTCTCCTCAAATTCACAAGAATTCATAGATGTAAGGGATAGCAAGTAACAGGAAGTTCTGAATATTCTTTAGGTTAATTTTCCCATATCTTTCCAGATCATACTGGTGACTTGCTCCCATAACATTACCTGGCTCATAGTATGAGTACAAAAGTGGGCAAGGGTGACTCAATTGCCATTACTTAGTTTTCTAAATAATTTTCCTGCTTTTCTTGGCAGGAGAAGAAAGCTGAGTTTTCTTCCAATAATGTAACGACGGATAGGATCACCACTGAGCCACAGTAGCATCATTTTGTATTGTAAAACAAATCTTTTCTATTGTCCTAAATTATTGCAAAATGTCTTTCTCATTTATTGAAGTAAATGTTTGGCTGAATGTGCTTATAAATGCACCATTAACTTGTATGTATTTTCTTAGGTTCATGTACTGGACTGAATGGGGTGGCAAGCCAAAGATAGATAGGGCTGCCATGGATGGAACGGGGCGTATCACTTTGGTGCCAAATGTTGGACGAGCAAATGGACTAACTATTGACTATGCAGAGCGAAGGCTTTATTGGACAGATTTAGATACAAGTCTAATTGAATCTTCCAATATGTTGGGTAGGTTTGTAATTGTACTTAAATTTGGAGGCATGAGCTGATTTTCTTTGGTTTAATATTGATTTTATTCTGTATCTTTCATGGTGATATTGGAGAGGGTTTCGAGGAAAATGTCTTTAAATTTTGGGCAGCGCACAGCTGCTATCGGTGTACCTGTGGTTTGGTTTAATTGATAACATTTTGAAAATGAGCAATTATGCTTCAAAATGTTTGATCTGAGAAACGACTTTCCTACTGCAGTATTAACTGGTTGTTTTGTAGGTCTGGACCGTGAAGTTATTGCAGACGATTTGCCTCATCCATTTGGTTTAACGCAGTATCAAGACTATATTTACTGGACAGATTGGAGCCGCCGCAGTATTGAACGAGCCAACAAAACAAGTGGCCAGAATCGCACCATTATTCAAGGCCACTTAGATTATGTTATGGACATACTGGTATTTCATTCTTCAAGGCAAGGCGGTTGGAATGAGTGTGCTTCAAGCAATGGACATTGTTCTCATTTGTGTTTGGCTATGCCAACCGTTGGCTATGTTTGTGGATGCCCTGCTCACTACTACTTGAATATGGACAACAAAACTTGTAGCCGTAAGGAATATCACAGTACCTTATTTTGCAGTTTATTTATAAAGCGTGTGTTTTTAGATGTTGGTAACATGGCATTCTGTAGTGAAATACTGAAGCAGTGAGGGAGAGGGAGGCAATAACACTGAATTTCTTGTCTTAGCATACTGCTGACTCACAGTAACACTGGCAACGCATGGTCCTGTAGAATGATAAGTAAGAAAAGATAGAAACCTGAGTTTAAAAATGACATCGGGCTTTTGCCATCTGTTGAAGTGATTGCATTTTTAAATGTTTTTATTTTGCATATGGTTAAAATATTTCACACAATGTTATAAATTGCATTATTTATACATAGTGAACAAAGCAGTGATTGTTAAAGGACTTTTCTTATGTCTAGGTGCATTACTAAATTACATGTTGCCTTTTGGAAATAATCTGATTTTAGAACTAAACCTGTTTTTTAAAAAAAAAAAAAAAAAATTTGCTCCACGCATAAGGAGAACACTTTTCATATATTTGAATTCCATATTTTGTTCAAGTGTTTGACTTTTCTCAGCCAGTTCAGATTGACAAGGCAATATCATCATTTTGCAGCTCCAACTTCGTTTCTGCTCTTCAGTCAAAAGAATGCAATTAATCGGATGGTTATTGATGAACAACAGAGCCCAGACATCATTCTTCCCATTCACAGTCTGAGAAACGTCAGGGCCATTGATTATGATCCCGTCGATAAACATCTGTACTGGATTGATTCTCGTCAAAATGTAATTAGGCGAGCACAGGAGGATGGGACCCAGGTTGGTATTCACATGGGTGTTTGAGACAAAAATACTTGTGCCTTGAACCCCACACAACATGTGGTATTCGCATTTTCTTCCCCTTTCAAACAATTCTCTAATTTCCTATCAGGATTTATTCTGAGTTGTATCTTAAGAATGCGTAATAGTTATTTCTCTCTATTTAACGATTCTCTCAAGAGCATGCTCATATATGTTTTGTAAATGCATTGTAGATGCTGAGAGCACTGGTGAAAAGAATGCATTAAATCATGCTGATTACTTTTGCATAAAATGAGCAACATTTATTGCAAAAATTTGAACTCGCATCAAGTTAACCTAGCTATGTTAGGAATGTAGAGACAGGAGTTTACCATTCAATTTGTCCTGTCATTCAATATGACCATGGATAATCAACACTTCACTGCCTCCTACCCATCCCATCCCATCTCCATAATTCAGTACACCATTGGAAATCAGAAATATATCAACTCCCTACCTTAGCCATATTCCGAGATGGAGCTGCTACAGCTGTCTGGTAGAGAATTCCAACGGTTCATAACTGAGTAAAAGCAAGTCCGAAATGAGGAAAATTTAGGTGGCCTCACCTTGTTTTTAAAGTTGTTCTCACTGGTTATAAGCTCCTTGACCAGCGAAACATCTTCCCTGCATCAACCCAGTCTGTCCTTTTTCAATATTTTGTAAATTTCAATGAGATCACGTCTCATTCTTCAAAACTCTAGAGAATACAGGCCCAGTTTCTCCAGGCTCTCTTCATAGGACAGTCCCACTATCCCGGGAACAAATCTGGTCACCTTCATTAAACTACCTCTACGGCAATAATATCTTTCTTGAGATGAGATCAAAACTGCACACTGTCTCCCAGGTGCATTCTAACCAAGCTCCTACACAACTAAAGCAAACTATCACTACTTCTGGACTCTCATCCACTTGTAATAAAGGTTAACAATCCATTAACGTTCCCAATAGCTTGCAGTACCTGCATGTTGGCTTTCAAAGACTTGACAACAGAGAAACCTACATCTACACTTTCCAGCCTCTTGGCATTTAAAAAAATACTCTGCACGTCTGTTTCTTCTACCGACGTTAATAATCTGTCAAAATAAAAACCAAAAGAACTGTGGATGCTGTAAATCAGGAACAAAAACAGAATTTTCTGGAAAAGCTCAGCAGGTCTGGCAGCATCTGTGAAGAAAAAGTCAGAGTTAATGTTTTGGGTCCGATTCTGAGGAAGGGTCACTGGACCTGAAACGTTAACTGATTTTTTTCTTCACAAATGCTGCCAGATCTGCTGAGCTTTTCCAGCAAATTCTGTTTTTGTTATTGTTGTTGTTAATAATAACCTTACATTTTTCCACATTATGTTCCGTTTGCCCATTCACTAAGCCTGTCCAAATTTTCCTGAAGCTACTTTGTCTTCCTGATAGTGCACATTCCTACTTGGCTTTGTATCATCTGAAAATTTGGAAATTATGCTGTTTGGTCCTCACCTCCAAATTGTTGATATATATCATGAACAGTTAGGGACCCAAGTACTGATCTTTGTGGTACTCCCCCAGTCTCGGCTTTTTATTCACTTGTGGGACTCCGGTGTCACTGGCTGGGCAGCATTTATTGCCTATTCCTAGTTGCCCTTGAGAAGATGATGGTGAACTGCCGCCTTGTACCGCTGCAATCTACCAACTGAAGAATGACTCACTTACTCCAACTCTGTTTTTTGTCTGTTATCTAGTCAATAGTCCTTGCCAGTACATCGCACCCTATCCCATATACTTCGGTTTTTCACCAGCTTCCTGTGGGGATTTTGGTCAAAAGCCTTTTGTTACTAATATCTTCAAAACAACTCCCAAGTTCATCTAACACAGTTTCCCATTCACAAATCCACGCTGACTATGCTCAATCAGATCATTGTTATTCAAGTATCTGTTCTATGATCTTTATCATATCTGTTATTATAGATTCTAACTTTTCCCTACTACTGACGTACGGCTAACCAATCTGTAGTTCCGTTTTCTCTCTTGCTCCCTTAAATCGTGGGGTGACATTATCTTCCAATCCACAGGAATCATTCTAGAATGCATAGAATTTTGGAAGCTAATCACCAATGCATTGACTATCTCTACAGCCACATGCTTCAATACTCTAGGATGAAGAACATTAAGTCCTGGGGTTTATTAACTTCCAGCTCTCTCAATTTCTCCAATACAATTTTCTTACACTTAGTAATTTCCTTTTAATTTATCATTCTCCCTAGCCACTTGGATCTCTAGTTCTGGGTGATTTCTTGTATATTTCTCTATGAGAACCGATACAAAGTAATTATTTAGAATTTAGCTCCTCTACCACCTCTCATAGAGTCATACAGTACGGAAACAGACCATTCGGCCCAACCAGTCCATGCCAACCGTAATCCCAAACTAAACTAGTCCCCCTTGTCTGCACTTGGCCCATATCACTCCAAACATTTCCTATTCATGTACTTAACTACTGTCCACATCCACCACTTGCTCTGAAGTTCATTCCGCACATGAGCCACTCAGATCTCATCGGTCAGTCTGCTTGTAATGGGCCCAAATTGGTTTAGTTTTACCCCCTCTCTGATTTTGAGAGGAGAACAAGATAGGCCAAGGGCAATAATCTTAGACCCAGAGAGGGGGTAAAACTAAAATTTGACACTTGACCTACAGCCATTGTTATTATTAAGGCTTTTGCCAGGGGCAACTTTGAGAAGTATGTTAAATAATTGCTTTCCCTTTATTTTACCCCTCCCTCAAACTGAAGTATATGTATTTCACTAACCTTCAAGACCGATCACCAAGAAATCAAATTGTTCTGTTCATTTCAGAAATAAAAAGACTTCATTTTAGCTAAATGTTTCCTTTTCACATACCTGTCAAAACTGTTCAGTGCATTTTTGTTTCTCGGTAGTCAGACTCGTGTTCTGTTTTCTCTTATCATTTTCCTGGTTTTCCTTTACTGTATTCGAAAAGCCCTCCAATTCTCAGTTTTACTGTTATTTCTGGCAATGTTACAGGCATTTTCTCCTACTCTTGTACAACCCTGAACTTCCTTTCTTAGCCACAGTGAGTGACTGTTTTGAGTTTTTGCACTTTGAAAGTATCGTTGCTCTAAGTCATGATAGTTCTTTAAAAATGGATGACCATACAGAGTCAGTGGACAGTGTTTAATGTATTTTCTCAATCCACTTCAGCCATTTTGTGCTTTATGCCTTTGTAATTCACCTTATTCAAATTTAACACTCTCGCTTCAGATTCAGTTATTCTCACTTCCAAACATATGTAAAATTCGATCATGTTTTGGTCACTCATCCCTAAAGTTTCATTTGCAACAAAGTTGTTAATCGCCCCTTTTTCAGTATGTAATACTAGATCTAAAATAGCATGTCCTCTAATTGGTTCCTTAATGTGCTAGTCTAGGCAACTATTCATAATATAATCCAACTCTTCCAAAACGATACTACAGTAATTGTCAGTTATTTTTTAATTCTGCATGTTGTTTCTTTCATTGTTTTAGTTTTCTACTTCTTTTGCAGAGTTTTACTGTTGTAACCAGTGCAATTCCCAACCAAAATTTGGATATGCAGCCTTATGACCTCAGCATTGATATCTACAGTCGTTACATCTTTTGGACTTGCGAGGCGACTAATGTAATAAACGTAACACGGCTGGATGGCAAAGCAATAGGTGTGGTTTTGAGAGGAGAACAAGATAGGCCAAGGGCAATCATCGTAAATCCAGAGAGGGGGTAAAACTAAAATTTGACACTTGACCTACAGCCATTGTTATTATTAAAGCTTTTGCCAGGGGCAACTTTGAGAAGTATGTTAAATAATTGCTTTCCCTTTATTTTTCCCCTCTCTCAAACTGATAGGTATATGTATTTCACTAACCTTCAAGACAGATCACCAAGAATAGAGCGTGCTGCATTGGATGGTACAGAGCGTGAAGTTCTCTTCCTTAGTGGACTAAGTAAACCAGTTGCACTTGCTATCGACAACAAGCTTGGCAAACTGTTCTGGGCTGACTCTGATCTGCGCCGCATAGAGAGCAGTGACTTATCAGGTAAAGAGAGGAAAAGAATTTTTTCAAAGGACTTCTACGAAAGAGAAAGGAGGAGGAAGTGAAGGAAAAAATGCGTTGTTTTAAATATGTATGAGAAGTGCTGTTTTTGTAAGCATTAAGTCTTTTTATTTCTGAATGAACAGAATAATTTGATTTCACAATGAACCATATAATCAGTATTATTATTTGAAATGTTTTACATTTTATTCTTCCCTCCGAATATTTTGCAAGTTACATTTTCCCTAACTGCAGGACTCTCTTCCCAGCCTTCTAGTTGTATTACTCTTCATGCCATGGTTTTTTTTTGTTCTTTCACAGCAAAATACTTCAGCATTTTACCACACAGGATATTGCACCATTTCAAATTTTCATTGATTAGAAGTATTTGGCAATTGGATAGGTAACTTTCATTTTGTTTTGCCATGTAATATTCTTCCCCACCAGTTTAATGATCCTATCTGACACAGGAAAAGGATAGCTGATCTCTGGTCTTTACAAACTGATCAGACTAATGTTGTAAAATTACATGAATATACTAGGTAGGAGAAGATGTGGGCTATTTAGCCACTCCAGAATGCGTCGCCATTCAATAATATCCTAGCTGATCTGATTGTAACCTCAAATTTACATTCCAATCTGCTCTTGATAACCTATCTACCTCTATCATAAAATACTCAAAGCTTCGCTTCCACCACCTCTTTTTTTTTTAAAAGAGAGATCTAAAGATCCTCTAAGAGAAATAATTTCAGCTGTTCTTTGTTTTAAATGGGTGACCCGTTATTCTAGTTTCTGTCCTAAAAAGAAACATCTTATCAACATCTACCCTAGCAGGACAGCTCAGGGTCTCGTTTGTTTCAAACAAGTAGCTTCCTAATCTTCTCCATTCCAAAGATACAAACTTAGTCTGCCCAAGCTTTTATCATAAGACAACTCTCAATATGTGACTAATTCCAGGTATTAGTCTGATGAATCTTCTCTGAAATGTCTTCAACTATTCCTCAAACAATGTGACAAGTACTGCGAACAGCATTTTGGATGCTGTCTCACCATTGTCCTGTATGACTGAAGCATGACCTCCCCACTTTTGTATTCCGTTCCCTTTACAAACAATGACTAGATTCTGTTGGCTTTTCTAATGAATTGTTCTACCTGTATAATAATCTTTTTGCAATTCTTGGTTATCCCGATTCCTCTGCATCATGGAGCTCTGCAATCTTGCACCATTTAGATTTTTTATTCTTTCCGTCAAAATGGACAATTTCACAGCTTCCCACATTGTACTCCATTTACCCACTCACTTAACTATCTGTATATATTCATAGCCTCCACTATCTTCTTCACACCTTACTTTCCTACTTAACCTTGTGTCGTTGACAAATTTGGCAGCCACACCTTCTATCCTTTCACTCAAGGCATTTACATCAATTGTAAACAGTTGAGATCCCAGCACCAACTCGTGTGGCAGACCACTCACTACATTTTACCAAACTAAAAAGGACTTGTGCCTTCTCTCTGCTTCCTGTTAACCAGCCAGTCTTCTGACCATGCCAACATGGCTACTCCAAATCTACATACACTACATTCACTGGTTCCCCTTTACCCACAGCATGTGCTACCCCCTCATAGAGCTCAAACAGGTCAATCAAACATGACTTTCCTTTCACAATACCATGCTAACTCTGTCTGATGACCTTGAAGTTATCTAACTACCCTGTTATAACATATTTTAATACTAATGTCTGATATTTTCCCTTTGATGTTATGATTTTCCTGAGTTCCTCCCTCTGTTCCATTTTTCTGATTTATCGCTACTTCTAGAATGTTTATTGTAGTCACCTGTACTGTAGACTGATGCTTAATATCTGTTCAATTCATCTGCTATTTCTTTGTTCTCTATTATTATTTCCCAGTTACATCTTTTTATTAATTATTTCTATAAACGCTTACTGTCTGTTGTTATATTTTTGGCTATCTTTTTCTCCTATTTTAACTTCAAATCTTTATTAATTTTTGGTCATTCTTTCCTTTTTTCAAACATTCTGTCCAATTTTCTGACTTGTCACCTTGTCACAATTGTATGCTTTTCTTTTAATTTGATACCACATAACTTTTCAAGTTAAAAACAGATGGTGTATCTGTTCGTTGGAATTTTTCTTACTCACTGGAATGTATCTGTTCTGTGTTGTATTCTGAAATATCCCCTTTTAAATGTCTCATTGCTTCCCTATTGATGTATCCTCTTGGCTAATTTGCCAATTCACTTTAACCAGCTCTGCGTTCAAACCCTCAATTTCTCTTTTTTAAATTTTAACAAAAATCTCAAAACTACTGCTCTCTTCCTCAAAATGAATGTAACATTTAATGATGATGTCCCTGCTACATAGGAGCACCTTTACCTTGAGACGATTAGTTAGTCCTGCTTCATTACACAATACCAGATTTAGTATTGACTGTTCTCTGGTCAGCTTCAGAATGTGTTATAAGAAATTACTTTGAAAATATTCTAACTTCTCCAGTCAATATGTAATTAAAATCGCCCATGATTATAATGCCTTTCTGATAAGTTCTCATTATTTCTTCCTTTATGCTCTACTGTGCTATGTTGTTACTGTTAAGGGACCTGTGCACCACCCCACCAAATGGTATCTTGCCTTTTATTTTGTCGGATAGATCTTCAGCCCCTCGTGTCCATCTCAGTCATCAAACATCCATTTATTCTCATCCTATTTTCCACCACTTGGACCATAGCCATTTCAAGTGCTCATCAAGAGAGACAGTGGGAACTGCCGATGCTGGAGAATCTGAGATAACAAGGTGTAGAGCTGGATGAATACAGCAGGCCAGGCCGCATCAGAGGAGCAAGAAAGCTGACATTTCGGGTCCTTTTCTGAAGAAGGGTCTGGACCCAAAACATCAGCTTTCCTGCTCCTCTGCTGCCTGGCTTGCTGTGTTCATCCAGCTCTGCACCTTGTTATCTCAGGTGCTCATCAAAATAGTTTTTAATTGTCTTGAGGGTTCTTGCTTCTAACACCGGTTCAGGCAGTGAGTTCTGAATACCAGAATTCTCAGAAGAGAAAAGAAATTCTCAATCCCCTCTAAATCTCCTGCTCCCTACCTTAAAATTGTGATCCTGCTTATTTACCCATCTACTAAGTGGAGAAGGTTTTCCTTATCTACCCTGTCTGTGCCCCTCAAAACTTTGTACATCTCAATTAGATCCCCTCTTGGCCTACTCTACTCTGAGGAAAACCACTCCAGCCTTTCTGGTTTCTTTTCCTAGCTGAATCACTTGAGCCCAGGCAACATCCTTGTTAATCTCTTTCACAACCCCTAGTGCAATCACATCCTTCTTGAACTGTGGTGACCAGAACTGCGCATACTAAATTTCTCTCACATTTCTTATCTCTATGAAAACTGTTTCCACATTTTGGTCTCCTGAACATAGGTCATTCCTGTCTATTGTGCTAATATCATCATTAACTAATGAGAGCAACCCCTCCGTGCTCTTCCTAATTTCCTGTACTTTTCAAGGTTTAAGTTCAAGTTCCCAATCCATATCATCCTTCAGCCTCAGTAATGGCTACAGATCATTCTTGCCTATTTCTATTGTGCTCTCAGTTCGTCTGTTTCTCTTTGAATGGTATAAGCATTCAGGTACAGAACCTTTAGTCTTAACCTTCTCACTTTTTTCTGGAAACTCTAGTCTTACTTATTGTTCAACTCTTAGATTTGCATTTTATATCCCTTCCTGTCACTGTATGTTTATCATTTCCTGTATTAATACCGCACTCCTTTGGTCTTGAATTAACTCATTAATTTACCATGTCTTCCCAAATTTGATCCCCTGATGCCACCATCTAGTTGAAAATCCTTTCTACTTCTGTGGTTATATGGTTGGCAAGATAATGTTACATAGTTGTGTTTTCAAGATTCCTGCTGTTTGTGAGGAATAAATGAATCAAAACAGAAAAAATATATAAAGAAATTTCTGGAGAAACTCGACAGATCTCACAGCATCTGTGTACAGCGAGAGTGTTAACATTTCAAACTCACTATGACTTACTTGGAATGTTGTTGGAAGCCCTTGTGATTTTGATACATTGGCAACTAGTGGTCCATAGAATTAATTTTGAAATGGACATGAGCAAGATTTTGGGAATGTATAGTATATGGCGGAATTGTTCAGTCGTTACGGTGACCCCATTTTTGCCACATGCAGTAGTTCTAATGGAAAACAACTCTCACAGTATGGGGAAATGTACTTTATGTATACTTAATTAATAAATATCTACCATTGTCAGTAACCAAGGAGGCAGCAACAGCAATCTGTATTTAATTGCACCCTTGGGTCAGTGAAATGTTTCAAGGTGTGTCACAGGAGTATTATTACACAAAATTGGACACCAAGTTGGAATAGATGACCCAGAAACTTAGTCAGCAATCAAAATAAAAAGAAAATCGTACTCTGCTTCTTGTCTCAATATGTTACCAACACATGTATGAAAAAGTAAACATACGTGGAAGTACGTCATGCAATTGAGAGAGAGTCAGACAGCACGGAAACCCATTCGTCAGCCCAACTTGTCCATGCTGACCAGGTTTCCTCAACTGAACTAGTCCCGTTGGCCTGCATTTGGCCCATATGTCTCTAAATCTTTCCTATCCATGTACCTGTCCAAATGTATTTTAAATGTTGTAATTCTACCCACCTCTATCACTTCTCAGGATTTACTAATGCAGTTAGTCAGAATTTAATTTCCCAATTAACCATATGTGGCTAGCAGCTTTTGTTGAACATCACCACAATGTAGAATTGCGTACAGTACAAAAGATTGAATTATATTTATAATATCTTCTAAATTTGCTTTTAGGTGCAAATCGAATTGTTTTGGAAGATGCCAACATACTTCAACCTGTAGGTCTGACTATATTTGGTAACCACTTATACTGGATTGATAGACAACAACAGATGCTTGAGAGAATTGAGAAGACAAATGGTTACGGTCGTACTAAGATTCAAGCTCGTATAGCACAACTGAGTGACATTCATGCTGTGAAAGAACTCGATCTAAAGGAATTTGGTATGTTAGTAATATAGAAACCACATATAGTTAATACGTGATTAAAAAACAAAGTCAAGTCTGAGAAATCTTGAAAGGGAAGAAACTAGAAATAAAAGTACTGACTGTATTTTGCTATGGTTCTGTAAAGTATGGCAGTTTAAAACGAAATATTTTACTTCCTGATACCTGACTAGATAATTACTCCACAGACTTGTAGCAATAATTACTTTGTAGACTTGTACTGTTTAATCTGTCTCTGTGAATATCATTGTGTATCCACTTTGCTGAGATAAGTGAAAGCCATGGGTATTGGACAACTTCCTTACATAACAAAATAAGGCCAAAGCAGAGTGAAACTTGCCTGTCAGCACCAGGTCAGATTATTAAATAAAGTAATAGGTGCAGTAAGTTTAAAGATAAAATCACCTCTATCAAACCAGTTCCTTTCTGCATCCACTTGAAAACACAGGATTTTTTAAAAAGGAAACACCAGTTTTCTTGTGTCATTGTCATGCAGACGCTTTCAGGGTGTTTTGTATGCCATTCCCTTACTTTGTACCTTTTGTGTCTGTACAATGCCCATACATGTACTGATTGATAACAGCTCTGATTATAAAAACATAAGCATGCGCATGTAAATAGTGATTAGATTTTACAGCAGTTTAAAAAAAAATCATTTGTTCATGACAAACGTGGATGATGCAGGAAAGATTCTTGCTAACTGTGTAAATTTATGATCACATCTGGAGCCTTGTTCAGTCACACAAAACATCTTATCAAAGTTGGGAAGGAGGTCCTTTAAAGACTATAAATGCATTCTGTTTCTAAAATAATAGTTGAGATTGTCAGCACTTTCTTTGCTAAATTTGTGACTGGCATATTCAGTTTTTGCAGCATTGAAATAACTGTTCCTGTGATTTTACAGCTGAACATCCTTGTGCCCAAGATAATGGTGGCTGTTCCCATATATGTATTGTAAAGGGAGATGGTACTACACGTTGCTCCTGTCCTGTTCACCTTGTACTGCTGCAAGATGAACTGTCATGCGGAGGTAAGAGCAAAACTGTTCATTCTCAATCCTGATGTCATCATTTTATGCAATGTGTGCTCCCCTAGTGACTAAGCTTAAAGTCAAACTACAAAATATTTGAGAACCAAGAGATAAGACATTTTGTTTTAGATTTCTATCAATCAGGTCGATATACATTTCTTTGAAAATGCCAGACCAGTTATCATTGAGGATATTGATAACTGTGCAATTGTGCACTGACAGTTTGTCCTCAGTTTAGTTAACAATTGAAATAGAAAAGCTGAATTTTGCTCAATTTGCTTTTTTTTGCCACTCAAACCTGTAAACTTGCCATCAATTTTGTCTGTTTTCAGAGCCACCAACTTGCGCACCAGATCACTTCACTTGTGCTACTGGTGAGATTGATTGCATTCCTTTGGCTTGGCGATGTGATGGGTATCCTGAATGTGATGATCAGAGCGATGAGCAAAACTGTCCAGTATGTTCAGACAGTCAGTTCCAGTGTGCCAGTGGGCAGTGTATTGATGCTGTCTTCAGATGTAATGGAGAGACTAATTGCCAAGACCAATCTGATGAACAGAAATGTGAAGGTATTTGATCATTTTTATTCATAGAATAAAACTTCTTCTTTGTTTACTTGCTGCAGTATCACCACTGTATAGCTGTGCCACCAATGTAAAGCTGAATTGAGAGTAGAGTCCTGATGGTCCATGGGCTGTTATACCTTGAAGAGGTTTACAGCCGAGCTGGTCCTCCTCACTGGGGAGGGGGGAGAACGACAAAATATGGTTTCAAGCAGGGGTCACGGATTAACGATTTGTAAAAGGAAACCCTGGCAGATTTTCTTCCCTTCCTTACCCAAGAATGCCAGTGAAATTAGTGGTATTTGTGTTTAGTCAACTCGATATGCTATAATGATTTCTGGAACAGATGAGACTTGATAAAAGAGATTAGTACAATAGAGGTTAAATAATTAATTGCCATTGCAATAACCACTAAATTGACTTTTTTCTATTAAATTCAGATTTCACCATTTGTCATGGTGGGATTCAGACTCTCATCCCCAGAGCATTAGCTTGTGGTTCAGGTTTACTTGTCCAGTTACATTAGGAATATACCATTATCTCCCTGAATCAGTCAGTTCAGGTGTGTAATGACACATCCTGGGACTTTAACCTTCTGGCCCAGAGATATTGACATTACCACTGCATCACAAGATCTCTAAAGCCTACTGCACCTGGTATTCCCCATTATCTCCGATCCAAGTACTAACCAAGCCTAGCCCTGCCTTGCTCCCAAGACTAGATGGTTTCAGCCACAAAAAACAGAAAGAACTACAAATGCCAGAAATCAGAAACATAAACTGAAATTGCTGGAAAAGCTCAGCCGGTCTGGCAATTTTAGTTTTGGAGAGAAATCAGTTTTAATGTTTCGAGTCCAGTGACCCTTCTTCAGGTTTCAGACCACTGTAGCCTTGGGGAAATCAAACCTGGCACAACCACTGGAAAGTAATTATGCTCACCAATGGATGACCATCACTCTCACCCAAAGTGTTGATAATGTTTCTGTCTGTTTTGAACTGAGGATCTATTAGATATGAGGGAAACCACTACATTATAAAACCATAGTTTCGCATAACACAACAGCCTCCGAATTTCTCAAATACTAAATCATTTTGGATGTTTTTAAATTAGCCTGTTAGACTTGCTATGCCACATCTCTGGTGCAGATAGACCTAAGCCCAGGCCTCCTGACCTAGGAGGTAGGGACATTACAACTGTGCCACAAGTGCCCTCTTCAAGGCTGTTATCCTGTCTAGAATCAGAGACTGACTGACTGTTAATATACTGAATCTGTGCTCATTGTGGTTAATGGTGTCTGTGTGGTAGGGATAAACTGGGACATTCATTTGAACCCCCCCCCAATAAATAGATACAGGCTTAAAACAGTTGTCACTGGTTAGGAGATGCATGCTTATAAATATGTAACTCTAAGCATAGAACATATAAAAATTGATTCCAGTTCTATTCTTTTCTAAATGGCTTTTCAGAGTAAAACATCACCTTGGAATCTTTGATATTTAGGGATCAGCTACTCATTTTCATAACCAGCTAAGTCCTATGACTCTGTGATCTGGAAGTTTAGGTCTTTAACTTAAAGAAACTTGAAGACAGAATGGGTATTATTGCTGCAGAGGGATGAATTATAAGTATATGCTTTTAATTACCATGTAGAGTGATAGCGAATAAAAAGAAGTGCAGAGTGAAAGAAAATCAGTGAGCAAATTATCAAGGCTGCAGTTTTGTTTTGAGGATGCAAAATGTACATCTCCTTTCTTTGTTTGAAAATTGTTTTGTTGGGGTTGTTGGCATAGCTCCCTTGAGGGAGGCATATTGATTTACTGGCAACTTGCGCCACCATGTGGCAAGATGCAGATGGGCTTGCCAGAAAATATCAGCCTCGCTTTAATTACTGTTAGGAAGGTGACTGTGAGCTGTCACCTTGAACTACTGTGGATAATCTGGTCAGCGTACTGCCATAGTGCTAGTAAGTAGAGTTACAGGATCTTGACCCTGTGTTGTTGAAGGAAGGCTGTATATTTCCAAATCAGGATAGTGGACAACTTATGGATGACAGTGTTGCCACGTACCTCTGCCCTGTCCTTCCAGGCAGTTAGAGATCAATGGTTTTGAAGGTACTGTCAGAGGAACCTTTTGGTAATTCGCTGCATTGTATTTTGCAGATGGCATTGGCTGCTGACACTGCGCACCAGAGGCAGCGGATGTGAATTGCATCCGACTTAAACCCTTAAACAGTCAAGCGAAGTGCAGAGTGAAAGAAAATCAGTGAGCAAATTATCAAGGCTGCAGTTTTGTTTTGAGGATGCAAAATGTACATCTCCTTTCTTTGTTTGAAAATTGTTTTGTGGTATTCAGAGGGGTTGTTGGCATAGCTCCCTTGAGGGAGGCATATTGATTTGTCTGGATAGTGTCGTGTCTTCTTAGCGTTGTACTCTCATTTGTGCAAACGTAGAGTTCACACTTCTGATTTCAGCTTTGTAGTTTGTGGATAAGTTTTATGAGGCTAAAAGATGAATTAGTTGGCATAGCTCCCAGGATGTTTACAGTGGAGAACTCAGTGATGGTAGTGCCGTTGAATGTCAAGAGGCAGTGGTAACGTTGGCTTTTGTTGAAGATAGTTTAATGACACTTGTGCGGCCGAGCATAAACGTCATCCAGGTCTTGCTGCACATGGGCACATACTCTTTCAATATCAGAGGAGTCATGAATGGTATTGCACACTACAACCATCAGTGAATCATCTTTAAGGGAGGTGGTGGTAATGTCATTGAATTAGTAATCCAGTGTTGCAGGCGATAGTTCTTAGAACACAGGTTTGAATCCCACCACGGCAGATGCCAGTAAAATCCGGAAATAAAGTCTAGCCTAATAGTGACCATTGTTTTTAAAAACCCATCTGCCCTTTTAGGGAAGGAAATCTGCCATCTTTATATGGTCTGCTCTACTTGTGACTTAAGACGCACAGCAATGACTGAATCTTAACAGATCTCTGAAATAGCCTAGCAAGTCACTGTCCTGGATCAAAGACACTACAACATCTAAAGTAAAAATTACAGTCTCTAACCATACGTTTCAAGTCCAATGATTCTTCTATGGAACTCAAGGGTTTGGGGTTTTGAAGAAGTCCTGTTGGACTTGAAACGTTGACTCTGTTTCTCTCTCCACAGACGCTGGTAGAGCTGCAGAGTTCCTCCAGGACCGTGTGCCTATAGCTGAGGCAGCATGCAATGGACAGGACTGAACGATCCCACTATTAATGGATCAGATCCAAGCTCTGCAGTCCTGCTACATCCAATTGTTAATTAAACAAATACCAGGAGGTGGATGCTCCACAAGTTTTCCCATCCTTGTTGATTGGTGGGGAGAGACAAGGCTGAAGCATTTGCAGCAACCTTCAGCCAAAAGTGCTAAGTGAATGATTCATCTTTTGCTTCCAACTGAGACCCGCAGCATCACAGATGCCATCCTTCAGCTAATTTGATTCGCTCCATCTAATACCACAAAACGGCTGAAGGTTACCAGTATTACAAAGGCATGGTCCCTGATAATGTTCTGGCAATAGGACTGCAAACTTAGAACTAGCTGCAGCCCTGACCAAACTGTTTCACTACAGCTACAGTACTAGAATCTATCAAATTATATGGAAAATTGACCAGCTATATCCTCTCCACATAAAGTAGGACACAACCAATTTGGCCATTTACATAGAGCAGTACAGCACAGGAACAGGCCCTTCAGCCCACGATGTTGTGCCGAACATGATGCCAAATGAAACTAATCCCTTCTGCTTGCCATTGGTCAATATCCCTCCATTCCTTGTATATTTGTGTGCTTATCTAAAAGTTCCTTAAATGCTACTATTGTATCTGCCTCCACCACCACCCCTGGCAGTGCACTTCGAACTGCTACCAATCTCTGTGAAAACCTTGCCCCTCAGGTCTCCTTTGAACTTTTCCCCTCTAACCTTAAATACATGCCCCCTAGTATTAGACATTTCAACTCTGGGAAAAAGATTCTGACCGTCAACCTTATCTATGCATCTCATAATTTTATAGACTTCTATTAAATTTCCCGTCAGCCTGCACCACTCAAGAGAAAACAGCCTGAGTTTTTCCAGCATTTCCTTACAGTTTATACCCCCTAATCCAGGCAGCATCCTGGTAAACCTCTTCTGCACCCTCTCCAAAGCCTCCACATCCTTCCTGGAATGTGGCGACCAGAATTGAACGCCATCCTCTAAATGTGGCCTAACCAAAGTCTTATAAAGCTACAACATGACATCGTGACTCTTGTACGCAGTTCCCTGACCAATAAAGGCAAGCATGCCATATGCCTTCTTTCTCATCCACTCTACTTGAGTGGCTACTTTCACGGAGCTATGGACTTGAACACTAAGATCCTTCTGTACATCAATGCTGTTTAGAGTGTTGCCATTAACTGTATACTTTTCCTTAACATTTGATCTCCCAAAGTGCAGCACCTCACACTTACCCGGATGAAACTTCATTTGCCATTTCTCTGCCCATCTGCAACTGATCTATGTCCTGTTGTATCCTTAATTGCCCTGTTACTTTAGTTTCATTCATCTGCATTGTGATGAAAGACCATAAAATGTAGGATTAGAGGTGGGCCATTCAGTCTGCTCTGCCATTCAGTGAGATGATGGCTGGTCTGATAATCCTCAACTCCACATTCCTACCATTTTCCTGTAACTCTTGATTCCTTTGATTAAAAACTCTTGATTAAAAAAAATCCTCCTTGTCTGTCCCCGAAGGGGTTGTCAATAGTGTCATCAAGCAATACTTGCAAAAGAATAACAAGTTCCCTGCAGCTCAGTCAGTGCTCTGCCAAGACCACTCCGCTCCTGATCTCATTACAGCTTTGGGCCAAACAATGACCACAGAAGTCGAGTGAGAGTGACTGCCCTTGGCAATGAGGCAGAATTCAACTAAGTATGGTATCAGGCTTTAAGGAAGGTGTTTATGGTTGTTGGAGGTCAATTATCTCAGTTCAAGAATATCACCTACGTGAGTTCTTCAGGGTAGTGTCCTACGCCCAACTATCGTCAGCTGCTTCATCAATGACCTTCCCTCCATGAGGTCAGAAGTTAATCTTTAATTTAGTTATGGGATAGGGTTTCGCTGGCTAGGTTAGTGTTTGTTGCATCCAGTAATCACAAGCATCTATCTTTTATGAGCATCTTTGTCCTGATTCCCATTGACTTAAAGTTTATTTGGGCTCCTTGATATTAAGTGCAGTCACTCTCAACTTACCTAAGCCATTCAGGTCATATTCATGTTTCAATCAAGGTTATAAATTGTGGTTGAGTAGTCCTGGCAGAACCCACACTGAGCATCAATATGTGGTGAGAAAATGCTGTTTGATAGCTTTGTCAGTGATTCTTGATAGCATGTGGAATGAATCGAACTGGCTTGAAACTGGCATCTGTGATGGTGAAGTTCTCAAGTGGAGGCTGAAATCAATTGGCCACTGGTACAACTGGCTGAAAAAAACTTCAGCCATTGTCTTTTGCAGCAAAATTCAGGTCCGAGCCAGCATTAAGCATGGAGCTATTCATAAAGCCTCTTCCAAGTAAACAATTTTCTTGTCCACAATTATTCACTACAGGATGCCGCAGAACTGCAGATTTTTGGTCTGATGCATCAGTGGTGATATTGCTTAGTCTGTTACATGCTGCTTCTGCTTTTAAGCATGCATGTAATCTGTAATGTTGCTTCACCGTGGTGGCACCTCATTTCTTTTGTCTATCTGGAGCTACAGCTCCTGGCATGCTTTCCTGTGATCTCCATTGAACCAGGATTCATCTCCTCTATCTTATGGCAAAGTGAGATAAATACCAGGTCATGACATTACAGATGGTGGTTGAGTTCACTATTGGTGTTTCAGGTTACCCACTGTTAAGCTGCTAGATCTGTTCAAGTCTATCCCATTTAGTACAGCAGTATCACACACATTGGGTGGTATTCCCACTGTAAGATGGGATTTTGACTCCACATAACTATGCTGTGATCATTCCTATAAAAGCTTAATAGACTCATCTCCAACCAATAGATTGAAGTCAAGTAGCCTTTCCGTCTCATGTTGTTCCTCTCAATGCCTGCCACAGGCTAAGTATTGCAAATATGTCCTTCAGAAATTGGCCAACTTGCACAGTTGTCTTGCTAGTAAGCCAGTCTGAGTGATGGACATTTAAGATGCCTGTCCAGTGTACATTTGTGTACTTGCAACTGTCATTGCTGCTTCTAAGTAATGTTCAATTTGAAGAGCATTGATGCATCAGCTGATGGAGGATGGTAAATGGTAAACTAGAAGAGGTATCCTTGTAAATGAAGCAATGAGACTTAGTGAGCATGGAGTTAATTGAATGTACTCCAAAGCCATTCGCTCCTAACTGTACACTACAGTGCCACCATCTCTACCATCTCTGCCCTCTCAGTGGAATAGGAAAAGCCAGGGCTGATGACAGAGGGACAAATACAGAGAATGCTGGAAAATATCAGCAGATCTGGCAGCATCTGTGGAGAAAGAAACAGTGAAACTTTCGAGTCCAATGTGACTCCTCTTCAGAACTGTTGCTGGAAGAGTCTGGGGCATCAGTTGCGAGGTACTATTCTATGAATGTGACTGTCCATCATTAGCTGAATCACCAGTGGGACAGCTCTTCCCATGTTGGCACAACGCTCTAATTGTTAGGAGGACTTTGCAGTGTTGAATGGGCTGACTGTACAATTGTTGAGTCTAGTGTCTAATGGATGTTGAGTAATCAATCGGAATTCCTTCTGATTATGGCTTTTTGTGTCAGCTTTTTCATAACTTAATACCAGGAACGTCCTTTTATATGCCAGTTTGGAATCAACTACATTGCTGTGAGTCTGAAGTTAAACGAGGACAAATTGGATATGGTCAGCAAGCTTACTTCCCCAAACGATATTAATGAACTGGCTGGATTTCTGACGATCATCCAGTAGTTTTGTAGTGACGCTTGCTGATGCTAACTTGAAATTTATTTAGTTAACTGAATTGAAGTTGATTTGAACTCCCACCCCTCTCTGTTCAAGTCTGTAATTACTTAACAGTAATCTAACCAATAGGCTGCAATACATGTAGATCCTTGGAATTTTCTGCCCTGACAGGTGCTTCCATAGCTCTGAGGGGAATTGTTCAGAAAGTTGGAGGGGTAGGGGTTTGGAGTGATCGGGAGCAGTTCATTGGTGGGACAGGGTGCACTGGAAAGAAGAGCACTGCTCCTCTTCTGGTATCCCATTCAGTTTGAGTGTATTATATTAGCTTATTTTTTCTTAATTCATTCATGAGACGAGACGTCTCTAGCTATGTCAGCATTTATTCTGCATCCCAGAGGGCAGTTAAGAATAGATTACATTGCTGTTGGTTTGGAGTCGTGTGTAGTCCAGATCCGGTAAGGACGGCAGTTTCCTTCCCTAGAGAGCACTAGTATACCGGATGGGTTTTTCTGACAATTGACAATGATTTCATAGTCATCTCTTAACTCTTAATTCCAGATTTTTGTTTTAATTGAATTCAAATTTCACCATCTGCCATGGCAGGATTTGAACCCAGGTCCCCAGTACATTGCCTGGCTGTCTGGATTAACAACAGAGCAATTATACCATTAGACTGTCACTTCCCCATTTCTGGTAGTGTCCTGCAGCAGTTCCTTTTAAGGGCTAGTAGTTAAATAACAATTAGATGTGTTTCCTTCCTGAAAACAGCTACTGGCTCTGTCAACATTCTGGCTGCCCAGTTTACCAAGCGATCCTCACATGAATGTTAGGTGCCTTATTTAAAAATGCAAAGCATCTGTTTCAGGCACATGACCTGAATGCCTCTATTTTTCCATTTCTGATAAGATGAGTAATGCACAACTAGCTGGTAATGACTCTATACTTTCTGGTCACAATATTTAAAGCCTAAGGGCCATTGAACAGCTGAAGATGATTGTTATACCGTTGATTTTCAGAAGCAGGAAGTTTTCAGTCTCATGGTCCTGTGAGAGCCAGATCAATCTATTCTCACTCCCACCTGATATCTGGCAGATAGTTACAAGATAATATTGCTGAGACTATGACTGTCGAAAAACTGAGCAACTAATCTAAACATTTTACTTCTTACCAAACCGTCTCAGTTGATGATGCTGATGGCAATTACAGCAAATTTAGGGAAAAAAAGCTGGAAAACTGACTACTGTTTTTAAATTGCTCTGTATTTAAGATGTGTTCCTACTCTGAACCTCTCCATTATGTTTGACCTCTCAAGAAAGTAAAATCTTGTCTTTGTCTGCTTCCCAGTTCTCTGTGCTATGGACCAGTTTCAGTGTGCCACTGGACAGTGCATTGCCAAGCATAAAAGATGTGATCATAATGGAGATTGCACCGACAATTCGGATGAACATGCCTGCTGTAAGCTTTCACCCAATAACACATTGTATTACAGGGTTCTGTTTTAATAAGTTTGTGCTTTATATTTAGTGAATGTAAAACAGTGGCTTACTTCAGTTAAAGGACATTGATTTCTCCCTTCCCTCAAATTCTTGCAATGCAGCAAACAACTTGTCTTCTCTCCTTGCTCTGATGTTCTTGAGAGCAAATCCTGCAAGTACTATTTCTTGTGCTGTGTTCTTAAATTCTCCCAGTTGCTCTCAATTACCAGGCAATCCCAATTCTAACTTGTTACAGGTGCCAGTACACTGTGTACAATACACGTTGCACTTGGTCAAATTGCAGATTTATGCTTCATAGTTTCTGTGAAATGATGAGCTGAGTATTATTAATGTTACTACAAAGTTTTTTAGTAGTCTGTTTTACATTGTTACAAACTTGTCACTGTTCGTGCTTTGGTATGCAATTGGCATAATGTGGACTTGACATTTGTGACAAAATTAAAATTTGAAGTAATTTTGAGAGATTTGCTTTTAATTATTTCCTGTTTGCTTCACCACTTTGAAGCTAAACTCAGCATCATCCTATTTAAATAAATTTATCTATCTGCCTCTCTTCTGTCGATTCCTATGTTAAGTACCAATGCATAAAGACTGTCAATATACTCATTTCATACCAACTATATGCAAATTTACCTTGGTTTCTACTGACCAAGCAGATCTGTTTTGTCAAATATGTTTCTGTTAATTTATTACAGATCCCACAGAAGAGCCTACCCCTCAACCTACCAGCACTATTGGTTCAATTATTGGTGTCATCCTCTCTGTCTTTGTGATTGGAGCTATATACTTTATTTGCCAGCGTGTTCTGTGCCCGCGGATGAAAGGTGATGGAGAAACAATGACAAATGATTTTGTCGTGCATGGATCTGCTTCAGTGCCTCTAGGCTATGTGCCACATACTAACTCCCTCCCAGGATCGCTTCAAGGTAGGAATGCACTATCATCATATATTGAAAATTGAGGCCTTGTGTGTGAAATCCCAGTGGAAAGCTATAATTGTGTAGTTTTTAATCAGGCTTTTTCTGTCTTTAACTATTGTAGAACTTTTTATTTTCCTTTATTTTTATTTTCCTGTTTTAATGTAGCTTATGCACATTTTTAAATTTGTGCTTTATATCTGATGAGTCTAATGAGATGGTAAATAAGGCCCTATATTTCCTCCTCCTCATGTAGGTGTAAAACATCCCATGAGACATTTTTAGGTAATACTGATCCTGGATAAGAGAAAAGGTTGGATTGATAATTACGGCAGCATTACATTTTGATATAGATTTTGATACGTTTTACCAGTGGTACCCTTTCTTCTTTTGAAACTATTTAAGGTTTCCCTTATTTGACTGTTACTTTCATGGCTTTTTCTCATTGACTGCACCAACTATGTGGTTCCATAAGCACTGAATATTCTCTGGGTGCCACATACAGGAGGACAATGGGCAGTGACTTAGAAAACTATTCGCTTATGCCAACATTGTAGTGACATCTGATCTAGTCTCTCACTGATACCCACATACACATTTCAAAGAGGCCATTGATTGGAGTGGGGTGTGCAGCTGAAATTCTCCTTTCCTGAGACCAGCAGTGTTGAGATCACTAGCAGCAACCCTTCAACCCTTCAACTCTAGCAGACACTGGCTGTATTTCTTGCTTGATTACATTATATTGATATGACTGGACTCATCTGCAATGATTTTCTTGTAGGCAATAATTCCAGACAGTTACTACCCTCTGGTAGAAGAAATTCCTTCACATCTCAGCTTTATTCTGTAACTGTGTGATCCTAGTTTGAGATTTTCCACCAGTGGGAAACATCTTCTCAGCAGCTACCCTAACAAACCACCTCAGAATCTTCGTAATTTTCAATCAAATCACCCCTCGTTTTTTAAACATCATTTGAATAAAAGCCTAAACTGTTTAACCATTCTTGATAAGTCAACCCCTTCATCCTAGGAATCAGCCTGATGAATCTCTTTTGAATGGTCTCTAATGCTAGTATGTCCTTTTTTAAATAAGAGAGCAAAACTATTCACAGTATTCCAGGTGTAGTTGTCTAACTAACACCCTGTATAGTTGTAACAAGGTTTCCTTATTTTTAAATTAAAACCCTTAGTAATAAAGGCCAAAATTCCACCTGAACATCTTGTTGCACCCATTTTTCCCAATAATTTTGTTTTCTTTTACGTGGACCCACTGTGCGGCAGCAACTTTGGAACTGGGGGTCAGTGTTGCAAACAGCATCAGCATGCTAGTTGCTGTGCACAGACCCTTGGAGCAACAGCACAGTGGGAATGCTAACTGCACTTGCGTGCTAATGCAAGTTTTGCATTTTGTGTACAAGAACACCTAGATCCCTCCTGCGCTGCACTTTTTTGGAGTCTCCTCCATTTAAATAATCTGCTTTTTGATTCTTCCAACCAACTTGCATGACCTCACACTTTCCTGCATTTAAACTCAATCTGCCAAGTTTTGCCCACTCACTCAATTTATCTTTGTACCCTTACACACACCTTGTGTCTTCTTCATGACATACTCTCCTACTCACTTTTATACTGTCAGCAAATTTGGATGCAATACACACAGCCTCGTCCTCCAAGTCATTAATATAGATAGTATGTAATTGATCCTTATGGCACTCCAGGTTGGAAATTCCCAACTAATGAGAAAAATGCCATTGATCCCAACTATGTCTTCTGTTATTCCTGACACAGTGACTCCTATCTTCAGCAATAACACTGTATGTGGCACCTCATTTGAATGCCTTCTGGAAATCCAAATACCTTACATCTACCAATTTTCCCCTGAATCACTGCTTGTTGTATCCTCAAAGAAATCTGGCAAACTTTTCAAATATGATGTCCTCTTAACAATACCATGTTGACTATCTTACAATTATGTTAAGCTTTTCTGAATTTGAAGTTTTATTTCTTCATTAATAATGAACTCTTAAACACCTTGGCTTATTTTGAATTTTGACGCTGTTATGAGAATGTTAACTATTTTCGACTGCAGTAGGGCCAGTCCTTCATCTCGCACATCCATTCCAAAGCTAGCAGTAGTAATGAGTGGTCAGGTAAAGGAGGGGACCCGTCACAAGCTCTGGCTAGTGATTGTGTCTGCATTTTAATTAACATTGCATATTGTAAACATACTTATCATGTTGTACATATTTACTTTACTTACTGGCTGTATTTTCTTTAATTGTAGGTATGTCCCGTGGCAAGCCTGTGATGAGTTCCCTAAGTATTATGGGTGGAAGCAGTGGGCCACCATATGACAGGGCTCATGTTACAGGGGCCTCATCCAGCAGTTCATCAAGTACAAAAGGCACTTACTTTCCTCCTGTAAGTAGACCGCTTCGTTACCAACTTTAACTTTTTTCTCATTTAAAGAATAGCCTAAATTAAACCAATATGGGTTATTTTTAAATAAAAAGATATCTTTGCCATGTCTTATTTTTACTTTGCTCCATTTATTGACTAAATCTGTGTTTGCATTCCCAGACAATGTGAAAGGAAAAAAAATTGTATTGATCCTTTTTCACAAAAAAAACCTACTGATTTTTACCTGAATTCTGAGGTCAGCAGAACAAATTTTTGAGAACAGGTGCCAGCAACACACCAGAACCTTGTATAAAAAGCAATTTTTCATGTGTATCATGGACAAGAGTATTGACAGATCTTGGCAGCTGATACACATATGCATTTGTTGGAGGGTGTATACAGTGGTTAGACACAAGTACTGTAGCTAGCGGACTTTGTCCTCTTTGATTCCCCACGTCTCACATTTGAGGATACTGAAACTGTTGCTTTGTTCCTATCACGTTTCTGGCTGAAATAAGTCAACACAGCATATGAATCTGAGAAATATCTGTAGCTTGTTCCACAGCATGTGTGTAGTTACCACTATGAACATACCTTTTAAACAGATTACATATATATATTTATACTTTTCCTCTTCCTCTGTAGATGCTGAATCCTCCACCGTCACCAGCTACTGAACGTTCACATTATACCATGGAATTTGGTTACTCCTCTAACAGTCCTTCTACTCATAGATCATACAGGTAAATGGGGAACACAATGAGATTAGTGATCCAATAGTCTGCCTTTTTCTGTGTAACTACTTTATTGACTGCAGCAGAACCCTCCAAATTCTCCAATTTTAATTGGATAATTTTGGAGCGTTTCCGGCATTAGGGAATTGCCTGTCAGAATCTTCAATTTCCCAAGCGATTCTTTTTGAGTCTGCTGCTAGAGGGATTTTGCAGGCTCCCCATGCGCAACTCCCATCTAAGCATCAGAAACAATTATCTGGACATCGAAAAAGACAGACCAATACTTTATTACAGACTTGGTTTAAATGTAGCTAAGAGCTAAAGTCCAGAGGTGAGGTAAGATGAGAGTGAAGCTCTGAGTATCAAGGAGCCCTGGAAAATCTAGATTCAATGGGAATCAGGGAAAACATTCTCTGCTGGTTGCAATCCTACCTAGTCCAAAGGAACATGCATTGGGTAGTCCGGTGAATTATACCTCACAGAACCCCAACCCGAAACGTCAGCTTGCCGGCTCCTCTGATGCTGCCTGGCCTGCTGTGTTCCTCCAGCTCCACACTGTTATCTCCGATTCCAGTATCGGCAGTTCTTGCTATCGCAAAGGAAGGTGGTTGTGGTCGTTGGAGGTCAATCAGTCCCAGGACTGTATCACTGTAGGAGTGTCTCAGGGTAAGGTCCTAGGCCCAAGCAGCTTCAGTTGCCTCATCAATATCCTTCCATCCATCATAAGGTCAGAAGTTGGGATATTCGCTGATGATTACCTAAGATTCAACACTATTTATAATTCCCCCGATACTGAACCAACTTGTGTTCATAAGCTACAGGCCTGGGCAATAGTCTCTCTTGGGTTGATAAGTGGCAAGTAACATTTGTGCCTCACTACTGCCAGACAATGACCATCTCCAACAAGAGAAAATCTAACCACCTTTCTTTGACATTCAATGCCAGTACCATCACCTCATCCTCCACTGTTCATGTACAGATATTACCCTTGACGAGAAACTGTACTAGTTCAACCATTTAAATATTATTGCTATAAGAGCAGGTCAGAGGCTAGGAGTTCTGTGAGGTGTAATTCACCGGACTACCCAATGCCTGTTTAGCAAAATGCAAACCAGGAGTGTGATGGAGTATTCTCCAGTTGCCTGAATGAGTGCAGCTCCAACATCACTCAATAAGCTCAACACCATCCAAGACAAAACAGCATGTTTGTTACACCATCCACCACCTTGAACATTCACTCTCTTCACCAATGCTCAATAGCAATGTGTGTACCATCTGCAAGATGCACTGCAAAAACTCTTGGCTCCTTCAACAGTACTTTCTAAAGCCATGGTCTCCCCACCTAAAAGAACAAGGGTAACACACGCCACCTGCAAGTTCCTTTCCAAGTCACACAACATCCTGACTTGGAACTATATCGCCAATCTTTCAATGGGTCAGAATCCTGGAACTGTCTTCCTAACAATACTCTTGTATTATACATCCCCATAGACTGCAGTAGTTCAAGAAGGCAGCTCATCATCACCTTCTGAAGGGTAATTAAGGATGGGCAGTAAATAGTGGCCCAGCCAGTGACACCCAATCCCATGAATGAATAAAATAAATTACTACATAAGCTTATTCAGCCATACTTCAAAAATAGGTGACTTTGTAAGCAGCTAATTGTTTTGTTGCCATCTAAAAGCAAAATACTGCAGTTGCAAGAAATCTTAAATAAAAACAGAAAATGCTGGAGAAACTGAGCTGGCAGCATCTGCAGAGAGAAACTGAGCTAACATTTCAAGTCTGATATGACTTTCAAGTCATATTGGCCTTGAAACATTAACTGTGTTTCCCTCTACATGGATGGTTTAATTTTACATCTGGTTTTCTTGCATGGAAAATAAAGTGTTAGAGAAGGGGTGTTTCGACAAATTTTAAGAGGAAAAACAAGATTGTACCTTATGTGATTACCCACTTTTTATAGCAAATCTAAAAAAATTTAACCAGTAAATTAAAATTGCATGTACTTTACAAATACATTGATATTAATACCTTGTATTTTCTTTTCCCCTCTATAGCTACAGACCATACGCTTATAGAAATTTTGCTCCACCTACTACTCCTTGCAGTACTGATGTATGTGACAGTGACTACACCCCTGGGAGGAGAATTGCTACAACAAAATGTTATGGCGATTTGAACTATGACTCTGAGCCATTCCCTCCACCTCCGACTCCACGGAGCCAGTATTTGTCTGCTGAGGAGAACTATGAAAGCTGCCCACCCTCTCCTTATACAGAAAGGAGTTACTCGCATCATCTTTATCCACCCCCTCCCTCTCCATGTACAGACTCCTCGTGAGCACCATCTTTGCCTATTGTAAATAATTGTTGATATGAAGAGACTGCATTTAAAAGTGGGAGATGTGATTTGTACAGTGAAAATAGGTTGGGAGGGAAGGGAAATGATTTGCAAACAATTTGTACAGAAGAGGATATTTATGTATTTTCTAACAGCACCTGCTGGTTGTGCCATAAAATTTGTAAAAATTTGTACAAATGAGATTTTTTTTCCACATGCAAACAAAAATGCCTTAACCCAGGGAAGCAACCATACCTAAGAAGACATAGAAAACTAGCAGTCACATTAACAGGTCACAGGATACCGGATGGATTGCAACTCCAGTGCCCAAAGAGAATCACAGTGTGTTTTACAGTGAAAACAAAAATGTTAATTATCTTCTGTTTTCAATACAAGAGAGACAGCTGCACAACACTCTTATAGAATTGAAAACAGTAACTCATGGAGAGCTGGCATGGGGATCTTACATTTTTATGCAAAGCTGTTTCAGCAACAGTCAGCTGAAGGAGAGCACATGCAGAATCACTTCCTGCGATTCTTGTCACACCAGTGCCAGTAATGTATACAATTTCACAGTGAAGCCCATGTCAACCACACTGCAGCTTTCAAAGGTGATCTCTGCCATGTGCTCGGAAGCTATTCTGCACCTTTGCTACAGAGTCAGGGTGGGGTAGAGTTGGAAGGAAATCAGCTTCTTTTTCGCTTCTTTGTGGTGAAAATCATTACTTTAATTATGGGGACAAATAGTGGAATAGCACCTGTGACATCTTGAAGTATTTGACCAAGGGCATAAACCATGCCTTGATACTTTTTAAATTCTTAGTCAGTGAGCTTTTAACTTCAGTGCCCGCAAATGTTCTGAGTGTATTTTTATACTACATTGTGTAGATAACCTATTTATAAGCTATAAAATAACCTTGTATTAGATTTCCTGTAAAGCCTGTCCATATATCCTTGCAATACTTTCATGTATAGTTGTATTACTTTATGCCTCATTTTATTTTTCTATAAAACATTAGTGTAAGGGTAATGACAATCTCAGATTTTTTTAATAGATGGCCAGATGAGTTTATTTTTTCCATTTTAAATGTAATTTTCAATTATCCGTTAAGGTACTGTGCAAAATACAGATTATCATCTTTATATATTACATTGTATTAAAAAATACATTTTGTAGCAAAGACTGAATACTTTGTAATAGTCCTTATGATTGACTGAAATGCCAAGTGAATCTAAATCACGATGCAGCCATTTAAAGTATTTCTAGTATTCAATTATTTAATTGTCACTATTTTCCATAAAATAATTTGATCAAGGTATGCATAGGATAATTAGTACATGAGGATTTTTTAAATGTCTGCTGCTGTGTACATGGAGCCAGAAATGTCTGGTATATTTGTCCAGGTATACTTCTAAGTGAAATTAGAACTCTGTGCCAAATTCTACTAGAAAAATCACCCTAGTGGTGTGTGTCTAAAGCAAACAACCTTGTTTGGAAGTGAAGGATCTGGTGCTGCTCAATATATTAATTGTAAACCTGTTTTTTTTCTTCTTCCTTTTGATTTTCCTCCTGTCAATTGGAGCTAACTGTTTTGTTGTGTACCAGGTGCAGTCCCCTGGTACCAGTATGCTTTGCAAGGATGTGTTTATGTTAATGACCAACATTTGGTCAGTCTTATCCATTTGCCTAATAACATCCTGAAAATGTAAAATAAGTGCTTTATTTGTCTGAACTCTGTTTCTTTTAAAAAGAGAAAAAAAAGCACCTTGTATAAAGCTCTTTCTGTTACTATCAAGTTAAGTTGTAACAAATGAAAAATTGATTTTTATAATAAAACTAAGATTGAAACCTGTAAGTGTCCTTTTCACCAAGACAACAAAGAAGCTGAAAGAAATGTCAGGGAGATACTACTGAATTTCATGATTCAGACTTGATGGAACTGAAAATACTATATCCCGTTTGTGCATGTATCAAATTTGAGATTATGTAGTAACTATAAAAGTTTTTCATTAATAGAAGTAAGAACAGAAACAGAAAATGCTGGAAATATTCAGGTCTGGCAGCCTCTGATGGGAGAGAAAACCAGTTAAGATTTCGGGCCTGTGACCTTCCATCAGAAAGGATTACTGGACCTGGGAGTCAGTTATTTGTAATGTGTAGGGTCTCCTCGTTTTGTATATTTCTAAACAAACTCAATATTTGAAGATTTATGCAAACTTATAAGTACTGTCAAGTTAAGAAATCACTGGGTGTGAACATTCATGCATGAAGTGATGTCTAGAAGGGTGAACCAAAAGGCAATTTACTGATGTAATTGACCCCTAGTACAAAATGATGCATAACCACGAAGAGTAAGCACATACTTTTGTATTTGTTAAAATTTGTACCAACAAGCAATGATTTAGTTAGCATTAGCAGCCACTATTTGAAGCTAAAATACTTCTTGAATACCTGAACCTAATGTATAATACTATATTTAACTATTTTATACCTATTGACAAATGACATTTACAGATTCGTTATTTTCGACAGGATATCGATCTGCATCAGAACATACATCATTAGCATCACAAGGACTTGGTAGGAGTGGGAAAACTTCTAGCATGGGACTATAGATCAGTGAACCTTATGTCAGTGGTATGTAAGAAGTTGAAAGGGATTCTGTGGGACAGGATTCACATGCATTTGGAAAGGCAAGGACTGATTAGGGATAGTCAACCTGGTTTTGTGTGTAGGAAATAGTGTCTCACCTAACGGTTTTTTGTAGAGGTGACAAAGAATATTGATGAAGGTAGAGCAGTAAACATCGTCTATATGGACATCAGCAGAATGTTTGACGAGGTTCCACGTGGGAGACTGGTTAGAAAGGTCAGATCACATGGCATCCGGGGGAACTAGCCAATTGGATACAAAATTGGCTTGAAGGTAGGAGACAGAGGGTAGTGGTAGAGAGTTGCTTTTTGGACTGGAGGCCTGTGACCAGCAGTGTGCGACATGGATTGGTGCTGGGTCTACTGCTTTTCATCATTTATATCAATGATTTGGATGTGAATAAAGGAGATATGGTAACTTTGCAGATGACCCCAAAATAGGTGATGTGGTGAAGTTAAGAAGATTATTTCAGTGTACAATGGGACCTTGATCAAATGGGTGGGGGTAGCAGATTGAGCTTAAATTAGGTAAATGTGAAGTGTTGCATTTAGGTAAGGCAAACCAGGCAAACCTTCTGTAGGAAGGATGTTAAACTTGAGAGGGTGCAGAAAAAAATTTACAAGTATGTTGCCAAGACTAGAGGATTTGAGTTATAGCGAGAAGCTGAATAGCCTGGGGCTATTTTTCCTGGAGCGTCAGAGGCTGAGGGGTGATGTTGTAGAGGTTTATAAAATCATGAGGGGCATAGATAGAGTGAGTAGCCAAGTTCATTTTCCTAGGGTGGGGGAGAGAGGTAAGATTTAGAAAGGACCTGAGGGGTAATACTTTCACGTAGAGGGTGGTGCGTGTATGGAATGAGCAGCCGGAGGAAGTGGTGGAGACTGGTACAATTACAACATTTAAAAGGCATCTGGACGGATATGTGAATAGGAAGGGTTTAGAGGGATATGGACCATATGCTGGTAAATGGGACTAGGTCAGATTGGGATGTATGGTTGTCACGGACGAATTTGACTGAAGGGTCTGTTTTCATGCTGTATGACACTTTGGAAACCCAGAGATCACAACAGCAATTTCCTTTTGGAACTAACAATGCCAAGAGTGGATGTTTTAAAAAAAAAAAAAAAAAAAATTGGATTTTCCCTTGGTCTACAAAGGATCACCAGTTCTAAATATTCATGGAAAAGACAAAAATTGTATTTACAGTGTAATTGTTGAAGGAATTAATTGAAGTAAAGTCAATTGCATCTTTTAACTGAATATTGGTAAAATATTGGAAGAAAAGAAAAATACAGTACCATAGAGAGCAAGGTAAATAGATTTAGATTTTGATTGTTGCAGCAAAAAAAAACTTTGCTTAACTTTTTTATTGCAGACTACTGTGATTCTTTCGGTGTAACCTCTGTGCAGGTGCATGTTTTACATGTTAAATTTCATGATTAACAGCCTGGTATTGAATATATTAGATGAATTCTATTTTAGTGCAAGTCATGACCAGTGCAGAAATTACTGTGAAATGGAGTAAAGAAAGGGGACTGATTAAATACATTGGAGTGATTTGGCTAGCATAGTGGGATGTGTTAATAAGAAAAATAGCTGGTGTGGCATACCAACAACAGCATAGGCCAGTTATAGAATCATGGAATGACTACAACAGAGAATGAGATACCTACAATCTGCAACAGCAACTCAGCTAGTCTCACTCCCTACCTTTTCCTGAAAGTCCTGCACAGTTTTTCTCTTCGGGTGCTTACCTAATTTCCCTTTGAAAACTGTGTTTGTATCTGCCTTCACCATTCTCAGGTAATACAAGCAGATGCTAACCATATGTTACATATTGAAGTTTCCTTCATTGTTGTGAGGTTTCTTGCCATAAATCAGTGTTAACAAGTTGTAGAGCTGGATGAACACAGCAGGCCAAGCAGCATCAGAGGAGCAGGAAGTCTGACGTTTCGGGCCTAGACCCTTCTTCGGAAA